TCGGTCGAGCTCGCGCATATGTGACAGATTGAAATATGTATTTTATAAATCCCTAAATCTGTTAAACATTGACAGCACTATAGTAACGCTATTTTGAATGTGTGTGAAAAGGTTTATAAAATGTAAATAATTAATTTGTATGTAATTGTGGTGGGTTCATCAACACTAGGGGGAGAACTCGCGGGGTATTTCCATTCCACATAAAGTTTGTAGTGGTGAAACATCAGCGAGTTTTGTGTTTAATCTTCTCCCCCTCTTCAGGGGTACAACACATATGATCCACTCTGTGCTATCTTGTCTCTGGACCGGAGCAGACTTCATTCATCCCAATGGAAAGCATATTACACTGTCTGAATCGTCCCCTATATAGTGCACTATGGGCCATTCACCATGTAGAAAATAGTAAAAGTGTGAACAAGTGACTGATTTTAGCTGCAGCTTCAGAGTCTATTTATAAGGGGCCCGAGCATTAAATTGGACAGAAAATCTGATGAGAAGTCAAAGTGCAGAGTGATGTCATTGTAAGACTGGAATAACTGAAAGAGAGAGCAACTCTCCGAGAAAACAAAGGAAATTAACATTTGAACTCTCTTGTGAAATTACTTTAGTATCACCATTTGAGGCGCAAATCTCACCTCAGTATAATCCTAATCCTAATCTACACCCCCACCCCCACTCTGAAGGTGTTTACAAAAAGGTGTAAACTCTGGAGACAGTGATTAATGCAAATTCCCATAGTTAGCATATGTTTAGGTTTCTTTCTTGGTCTGAGTATATAAAAAAATGTCTTAAGTGGCTCGGGGCAATTTGTAATGAGATTATTTGGGGCCAGTTATGTATTTCCTGAGTCAGGTACATCTTTTACTCTATCTCTGAGCATTTGATGTTATTGTATTGATTATCTTTGAGCTGATTATGTAATTGGCATGATACATTTACTTGACATGATAACTTGTTTACATTTGGATTTAATCTGACTTACTCTGAAATTATTCACTTTATTAATTACGTTGTATCCATTGTTAAAGCAAATCTGTGTCAGATTAGTGATGGACTAGAGTCCAGTTTTGAGCGGAGCATAGGGCACGCCAACTGTGATTTTAGAGTTCCAGCTAATATTTGGCACTAATTCAAGTGTACCTGGTTTGTAAAGACTAAAAGGGAATTTCCGTTTAGGACAGCAAAATGTTGTTCGACCAACCTAAATAGGGTGAGTCTTACCTCTGTTTGATGTAATGTTACTTTATTTAAGTGTACGTAAGAAACCATGCCATGACCAAACCAAAGCTACTATCAGAGAAGTAATATTGGTCGGCTTATATCTGTAGTAGTGGTCATGACCTCTGTCTAAAGAAAACGTTACTTTTATTCAGGTGTATACAACCAAGGGGGCTATACAAAATATCTTAAGATTGAGTAAGCGTGAATGCGAACGTCTAAGATATTAGCCAATTACCTCTGTTTAGTGACCCACTACTGGCGAGTTTGTGATCGTGGGCCCACATTATATGAACGGCTGGTGTGAGGACTCTGTGCGACTCTGCCAGTGAACAAGGATAATAAGAGTAAAAAGTTAAATAGAATAATCAAATGTGCTGCTAAAGTGCAGAAATGACCAATAACCAATTGGCATTTTAACCTAAATTCAAGGTTGTGATAAAATGGGAGTCAGATGAAAGCTTAAAGCTGCAATCCGTAGTTTTTCCTCTTTGTCGCTATCTCTGTTCGAAATCTGCAATTGCAGTTATTCGCGGAATTATCAACTTTGCATGGGTTGTGCCTTGACAAGGCTAACCCGTTCTCATTCCCAGAGCATCATATACTTACACTTTTGTCACGTCCGTTGGCGTCTACTACCAACGTCAATATGAGACGCACAGAGCTTTCCACTAACTCCAATGTAAACCCATCCGCGGTACTATTGGACGCCCAAGGCAACTTCGTCAGTCATCAACTCATTCCAATATAAACCGGATGATGGATAATGATATCCTTAATAAAAAATGCGCTTGATAATTCTACAAAACATTATGATAATGTTATGGACATTATTTTCTTTTTTATTATTTACCTTTTGAGGCAGAGAAATAAAGGGATTTGTTCACAGTTTTCGACAGATTTTAATGTATTTTGTTTTAATATCCTCAACATTTTATAACTTAACACGAAAGTGTGCTTAATAATTCAACAATGCAATAGGATAATATAACAGTTATTATCTTCGATCATGTAGGCTAGACCTATCCTTTGATTCTGAAAAATAAAGGCGGACGAAAGAAAGAAAATTGATTGGTTAAAAGTGCGGATGTTTTTTATTAGATTATGTCTACAAATTGCCATATTTATCTTCAGCCCACCAATAGTGATAGATCAGTAGTAGATCTTAAGATCGGTGATTGTATGCTTTATGCCGTAGGCACTGGTCAAATATAGCCAGGGGTGCCACACGGTTCCCGCGTGATCAGAACCGAGGAGGAGCCACGGATCTACCTCTGAAGTGATAAGTAAGTTAGTTATAAACTCTCCAGATGATTTGTATGTCGTTAAAAAATATTTATCAAACATGAAATATTTTCAGAAAGCCGTCTGTTTACCCAGAGAGAACTAATACCACTGCAACAAATTTTTCTTTTGCAACATATTTTGTTTTATTAACTGATGGTATTGCTGCTGAGACTGCAACCCCTTCAACATGACATAAAGAGAGAAGAAAGACAATCTGGAACTTTGAAACTCCTTTTCACAGACTTTAATAAGGTTATGGAGATTAAAACCATGTTAATATCAATCTTTATTAGTTTTTGATTAATCACAAAATGTGTTTTTGCTTTACCTGTGCGTTGATGTTGCTTGGTAGTTGACGCTGAAAATGACATTGAGACAAATTTAGTACTGGAAATTGTTACGTAAACCGAAAGGAGAAATATAAGTAGGACTACTAACCAGATGACATTCCACTGGTTTTCCAACTGGATGAAGGCCTTTTAGGAATAACAAACCCATGCCTGTCACGCTTCTTCCATTGGACAGGGGTTGGGTTGTGTTCCCTCTGTGCCTCACTCTGTGTAATTCAACACGACACAAAAACACAACACTCCAAATAATGAGTCAATAATTTAGGTGTAAAATAATTTTCTTCAACGTTTTGCCATAATGCAAAAGGAACTCCGGGCAATTTTTAAGTTAATCTTGATCGTTATACCTTTGAGTACTGTCAATAGAAGAAGAAAAAAAACGAACCGGATTGGTGCTTGCAACACGGAGCAGCTACAGCTAATGCCCAGAGCTCCCACTCAGCTAAAACGACAGTTATGGGGGCATATACTGTACTGTCTTTGTGCCTCACAGACACAAAATGCAATTAAACAATGGCTAAGTTGCTAAACGCATCTTGTTGTCATGTAAGGGCCCTGTTCATGTTGGACAGACATTTTAAATTCACCTAAATAGTGTTTTAGACAGCTAGCTGTAGTGTCGCGCTGAAGTCCCGTGGGAACTCAGTTGTAGCCGGAAAAAGGTAAATAGCAGTGTGCAGGTTGGAGTTATTCACCTGCATAACACAGTAACATTTGCTATTTGTATGTATATCTATCATTTAGTGTGGTAATTCGGACAGTATTTTCCCAGAGAGGTCGTAGCCTGTGTTATCATCACACACCTCCCCTGTAGGAGCCATACACTGGGTTTGTTTGGGCTTTTATTATGTTTTCTCTTTTCTTTGCACTACTTGTGTACATGCACGCGCTTCATGACGTCATCGGTTACTGTGGGCGTGACCGGGGGTGTGGTGTCTGTATTAATGTGTGTGTGTGTGTGTGCTCACCTGTGGGCAAGCTTGGGTTTGGATTATGGCTGCAGGGTGAGCATGGGGAGAAACTTTCTGTTGACCGTTACCACTGTTGTTCCCATCGATACTAACATCTATCACTGATGTCTCTGAGGTACCGTTGCACTGCTTACAACATGCATCACTCAAAGTAAGTGATTGGTTTTCTATGTATGTGAAATCGCGTAATAAAGAGACTTAATACGTACAATGGTTCAGCGTGACGCGTCTTCAGTGTAAATCCTCATGTTTCAGCCTGCTGCGGCGTTCGAGTTGTTTTGGTTGGTTTTGTTTTTGTTTTAGTAATATACGCCGCAATATTTGTCAACAGAAACTTGTTTGTTGCGCGGATTTAAACGTATTGTCGGGACAACACTGGATGTTTGCGATCGTTTCCAATGTTGAATGCGATCGACGAGCCAGCGCATTAGGACTCGCGTAAGCCCATTCATTCACAAATTGGCTGTTACTATGCTTAGTTTGTCAGCACAGTTGTCTTTTATTACAAGGTCTAAACATTGAACATTGTGGATTGTCTTTTAGGAATCAATTGCATTCCCTGTTAGGCTCAGCGGTACTTTCGCATAAGGTGATTGGACTGTTTGTTTGTTTTGGGACTTTTTTGCAGTGTTTTTGTTCGTGTGTCAAGCGGGTGAAGCATTGCGCTTGGGAGTGCCGCCGTAGTTCTGGTTCTAAGACGATCAGTCTGGTTCAAGACTATCGGTATTTAGGTACATAAATACCCACCGCTAGTATGCACAGAAGACTAGGGTTGAGTTAGTTTAGCTTCAGTGAATAAGTTAGAGGGAATCAATGACAACGCATTGTACCTTGTTCATATGGAAACGTAAGTTATAAAAAGGGTGCTGTTTTTAGCATTTTATTAGCAGATATTTCTGGTCATTATTGGATTATTTTGTAAACGAAAATGGAGTCGACTGGTACCAGGTCAACTGAGAAAAGACAAGTAAAACTTACACCCAAGGCTTTTGAATATAAATTGGAACGGCTCCAAGAAGAACGCCAAGCAAAGGTAAGAAAAATTAAAGATGCAATAAGAGAAATTAAAGACCTAATGCAAAGTGTTGGAAATGCTGAAAAAATACGGTCTTGTCTTGAAAGTTTGTCGAGTTTGTTCACAGAAGCAAGTTATATTCATGGTGTTGTGGTTCCTATGCTCCCACCTGAGGAACAAGAAAAACAAAATGCTTGGTTTTACAGTGTTGAAGACCATAAAACTGCTTTTGTGGAGGAGACAAATAAATGGCTGCTGGAGGCGCCAGAGGCACCAGCAGAGGGCGTTGTTGCACCATGTTTAGGATCTGCTGTTTTCGACGATGAGGCATGTATAGGTAAACCTGTGGAAAATGTAGATGACGACGTTAGGCCAAGTGATAGTGTGTCTAATGTGTCATTGAGGTCAAAGAGATTCAGTACAGTAGTGAGTAAACCCATGTCTACTACATCATCAGCCAGAATAAGAGCTGAGGCTGAGACGGCTGCTCTTATGGCTCGTCAAAAGCTGCTGAGCAAGAAGCATGCCCTGGAGGAACAGCAGGAAGTGTTGAGGAGAAAGAAGGAGGTGCTGGAGATGGATATGGAGCTGGCAGCGTCTATGGCTAAAATGAGTGTGTTTAAGGTTTCAGAAGGATCTCGTGCGTCTCATGTTTCTGTGGAATTAGATGGGATGAACTCTTATGTGGAAAGAGGGAAAAGCACACAGTTGAGCCATGAAGCTGCAATCTTTGTGCCTGAGTTTAATACTCAACCATTGGTGTCAGAGTTGGTAGATGACGTTTCGTGTCCAAGTTATGCTTCTGTGAGGTCCAAAACATATAACACAAGCCAGTTGCCTACTGCTGCGACCTCGGCCGGTCGGTTAACTTTGCCTACTTTGCCTGCTGCTGTGACTAGAGTTGATCAGCACACTTTGCCAGAAGGTGTTTCTAATCCACCCATTACTCACCTTCAGTATGGAGCTGCACCTGTAACCGTGAGTGATTCCGATCAGCGTTTTCTCACAGTTTTAGAAAGGCAAAATCAAATCACGTCTTTATTGGTTGGACAACAGTCACTTTTTCTCTTGCCTAAGCGAGATCTACAAGTTTTTGATGGAGATCCACTGCAGTATCAAACTTTCATAAGAGGATTTGAACACAACATTGAAGCGAGAACACAAAGTCAGACGGATTGTTTGTATTACCTCGAACAGTATACGAGAGGTCAGCCCAGGGATTTGATCCGGAGTTGTCAACATCTGCCTCCGTCCCATGGTTATAGTAAGGCAAAATCACTACTTCAGGAGCATTTTGGGGATCCATTTAAGGTAGCTTCTGCCTATATGGACAAGGTGCTTTCCTGGCCGATGCTTAAGGCCGAAGATGTCAAGGCTTTACGGGCCTACAGTTTATTGTTGCGGGAATGCTGCAACTCTATGGGAGTTTCTGCAAGTGACCTGAACGTACCTACGAATATGCAAATCATTGTGAAAAAACTGCCTTATAAGCTGAGGGATTATTGGAGAAGTGTGGCCTGCGATATTTATGAGAAGTTTCATCGTAGAGCTACGTTCTCAGATATTGTAGAGTTTGTTGAGAGGCAAGTCAAGATGGCGAGTGACCCTCTTTTTGGAAATATACAAGAGACATTTGCGAGTGGAAGAAATGAAGTAAAAATGGTTCGGTCTCAACCTAGTTCAAAGGTTAGAGGCAGTAGTTTTGCTACTACTGTAGCACCTGCTGAGAATAATATGGAGCCTGGGTTTAAAAGGGAGAAGAACTCGCTAGCGAAGTTTTGTTTGTTTTGTGGGGCTGGGCATTCGTTAGATGCTTGTTTCAGTTTGGATAAAAGAACACAAGATGAGAAAATTTCCTTTTTGAAGGAGAACCGTATGTGTTTTGGATGTCTGTGCGTCGGACACATGAGTAAAGACTGCCGAAAACGTATGACATGTAAAGTATGCAATAATAGGCATCCCACGTTGTTGCATATCCACCCCACAGCAAAACCAACGAGTCCGACTCAGGCCAATGGTGGCTTGAATATGGCCAGAGACGGTGCTGTGGTGTCTGTTCAGTCTAGTGGCTTGACTGGGGCCGGTAAGCAGGATTGTACGCTCTCTATCTTACCTGTTCAAGTGAAATCTAAGAGGGGGCAAGAGACCGTGGTCACGTATGCGTTTTTGGACCCAGGGAGTACCGCCTCGTTTTGTACAGAGCGACTCATGACTCGACTCAATCTTACAGGGAAGAAGTTGGGAATTCTCCTTAGGACTATGGGACAAGAGAAAGTGGTTGACAGTTACAAGTTGTCAGACTTGGAGGTCGCCGGGCTGGACTCGAACAACTTCTGTGGCCTGTCTGAGATTTTTACTCAACAGAACATGCCGGTTCATCGAGGTAACATTCCAAGCTCAAAGGACCTTCAAAGATGGCCGCACCTAAGACACATAAAGATACCAGAGATCAATTCTGATGTGGATCTTCTGATTGGCACTAACGTTCCTCAAGCTCTGGAACCGTGGGAGGTGGTTCGTGCAGAGAATGGGGGCCCTTATGCGATTAAAACCATCCTGGGTTGGACGGTGAATGGCCCGCTTCATGGAGATTGTCATATCAATGAACAATGTTTGCAGCCTGACATTACAGTTAATCGGATCTCAGTGGCGAGGCTTGATGAGCTTTGGGAGAAGCAGCTGAAGGTGGATTTCCCTGAAACTCTGCAGGATGAACAACCTGGTCTGTCAGTGGAGGATAAGCGCTTCAATGAGTTGGTCTCAGAGTCTACTAAGCTCATTGATGGTCATTATAATATTGGTTTGCCGGTGAAGCAAAGACACTTAAAAATGCCAAACAATAAGACAGTGGCAGAACAGCGTGCATTGAGTCTTAAAAGACGTTTGAATAAGGATCCATCTTTTAGCAACGATTACATCGCATTCATGTCCAAGATGTTGGTTAACGGCTATGCAGAGAGAGTTCCAACCGAGCAGTCGACCCGTTGTGATGGAAGGGTATGGTATATACCTCATCATGGGGTGTATCATCCTAAGAAAAAAAAACTGCGGGTAGTCTTTGATTGTGGAGTGACGTTTCAGGGGACATCGTTGAACTCACAGCTTCTTCAGGGACCTGATCTCACAAACTTGTTAGTGGGAGTGCTTACACGATTCCGTAAAGAACCTGTAGTGCTCATAGGAGATATTGAGGCCATGTATCATCAGGTCCGAGTGCCGGCTGAAGACTCTGATCTGTTAAGGTTCTTGTGGTGGCCTGATGGAGATTGCAGTCGGGAGCTGGTGGAGTATAGAATGACGGTACACCTGTTTGGTGCTACTTCCTCTCCTAGTTGTGCCTGTTTCGCCCTGAGGAAGTGTGCTGAAGACAATCAAAGGTTCTTTAGTTCTAATGCAGTTAACACGGTCTTGCATCATTTCTACGTTGATGATTGTTTGGTGTCCATTGGCTCTGAAGAGGAAGCAGTCTTTCTACGTCGAGAGCTTAGTGCCTTGTGTGCGGAAGGTGGGTTTAAGCTCACAAAATGGGTTAGCAACCGACGCACTGTTCTCGCTACTATTCCTCAGGATGAGCGCGCTAAGGAGGTGAAAGATTTGGATTTGAATAGTGATGCTCTGCCCATAGAGTATGTCTTGGGTGTACAGTGGTGTGTTCAATCTGACTCATTCAAGTTTAAAATCACACTCAAAACTCATCCACTCACAAGAAGAGGAATCTTGTCTGTGACGAGTTCGATCTATGACCCTCTTGGTTTCTTGGCACCTGTTGTTTTGTCCGCCAAGAAAATCCTCCAAGACCTCTGTAGGAGAAGTTTGGGATGGGACGAACCTTTGCCCTCTTCAGTGACTAAAGAATGGACGGCTTGGCTGGAAGAGCTTCACGAGCTTGAAAGTTGGGAAGTTAGTAGATGTTTAAAACCTTTGGACTTTGGTTTTCTTGTCTCTGCTCAACTTCATCACTTTGCAGACGCAAGTGAGGAAGGGTTTGGGACTGTGACTTACCTGTTGCTCCATGATGATAGAGGTCGAACCCACAGTGTATTTATAATGGGAAAGGCACGAGTAGCTCCTTTAAAACTTGTCACCATTCCCCGGATGGAGCTGACTGCCGCGGTGATGGCTAGCAGAATGGACAAGTTGTGGAGGAAGGAGCTGCAAATGGACCTTCAAGAGTCGGTTTTTTGGACGGACAGCACTTCTGTTCTGAAATATATAAACAACGTGACGTCCAGATTTAAAATCTTCATATCAAACAGAGTGTCTGAAATATTGAAAATATCCAATGCATCCCAATGGAGGTATGTGAATACGTTAACCAACCCTGCAGATCTAGCCTCCAGAGGTGTTAAAGTTCAGTCATTGCTAAAGACTGGTGCATGGCTCTGTGGTCCTGATTTCCTTCATGAGCCTGAGAGTAGTTGGCCCCAAAATCCTGAGACCTTGGAAAACACTCTGATTGGAGACCCGGAGGTCAAGGCTGTGATGGTGAATGCGGCTCAGGTTGAGCAGGTCAGTCCAGTGGAGAAGCTCATTGATTACTTTTCCTCCTGGCTCCGTCTTAAAAGGGCTGTTGGTTGGCTTCTCAAGGTTAAGACCTTACTTTTGTCTCTGGTACGACATCGAAAGCTGCTGAGAGGAAACCTTTCTGAATTGGACCAAAGTTCTGAGCAGTTGGAAAAAGAGCTACAGGTCCAGATGGAAGGATTTAAGGCTCAAGTGCCAAAGGGTGTTCTGTCTATGGAGGATATGGTTGTAGCGGAGTCAAGTATTATCTGTTTTTGTCAAAAAACAATGTTTCCGGAGGAACTGGCCAATTTGAAGAAAGGAGAGTGCGTAAGGAGGACGAGCCACCTCTACAAGCTCAACCCGATCCTGGATGGTGATCTCATTAGGGTTGGAGGACGGCTTAGTAGAGCAGCTATGCCAGCTGAAGCAAAACATCCAGTTATACTGGCTAAAGATAAACACATCTCCAATCTTATTCTCCGTCATGTACACCAAGTAACAGGCCATGGTGGACGAAACCACATGCTTTCTCATCTGCGTCAGAAATATTGGATTCCTGGTGCTTGTGCCGCCATCAGAAAGGTTTTGGCTAAGTGTGTCATCTGTCGTAGATTGTCTGCTTCACCTGGACATCAGAAAATGGCTGACCTTCCTTACAACAGAATAACTCCTGATGAGCCTCCCTTCAGTCGAGTTGGTTTGGACTGTTTTGGACCATTTGAAGTTAAACGTGGAAGAGCTGTGGTCAAGAGGTATGGACTCATTTTCACGTGCTTAGCGATGCGAGCCATACATCTTGAAGTTCTGTCTTCTTTGGACACAGACTCCTTCATTAATGGTTTCAGAAGGTTTTTGGCGAGACGTGGTCAAGTCTTGGAAATCCATTCGGATAATGGCACTAACTTTGTGGGCGCTGAGCGTGAATTGAGGAATGCCATTGAGAATCTGAATCATAACCTCATCAATGACGTGCTGTTACAAAAGAATGTGAAATGGGTTTTTAATCCCCCAACAGCATCCCACCATGGAGGTGCTTGGGAAAGGCTAATTCGGTCAGTCCGTAAGGTGCTAAACTCTATTTTGAAGACTCAGACACTGGATGAAGAAGGCTTGGTGACAGTGTTCTGTGAGGCTGAAGCTATTGTTAATAGCCGCCCTTTAACCAAGGCATCAACAGATCCTCAAGACTTGGAGGCCTTGACTCCTAACCATCTACTTCTGCTTAAGTCGCAATCGCTGTTGCCACCAGGATTGTTCGAGAAGGAGGATGTTTATGCTCGCCGTCGCTGGAAGCAAGTGCAGTATATGTCGGATTTGTTCTGGAAGCGCTGGGTGAAGGAATACCTTCCTGGACTTCAGGAGCGCCAAAAGTGGAATACTGCCAAAAGAAACTTTGCCCCAGGGGATCTCGTGGTGCTGGTGGACGATATGGCACCTCGCAATGCTTGGATTACAGGAAGAATTGTGGATACTGTTCCGGACAAAAATGGACTGGTGCGAAGTGTACGGATTAAAACTAAGACAACGTATCTGACAAGGCCAATAACCAAAGTCTGCCTTCTGCAGGAAGCAGAGGAGCAGTGAAGATATTTGGATATGGCGGACATGAACTTTGACATTAACAGGACCTTTAAAGGACTAACATTTCACTTTGCATTTCTAACTGGTGTTTGTCTCCCACAAGAGGGTTGTAGTGGTGGTCAATTATTACTATAAAATAATTGGGGGCCGGAATGTAGGAGCCATACACTGGGTTTGTTTGGGCTTTTATTATGTTTTCTCTTTTCTTTGCACTACTTGTGTACATGCACGCGCTTCATGACGTCATCGGTTACTGTGGGCGTGACCGGGGGTGTGGTGTCTGTATTAATGTGTGTGTGTGTGTGCTCACCTGTGGGCAAGCTTGGGTTTGGATTATGGCTGCAGGGTGAGCATGGGGAGAAACTTTCTGTTGACCGTTACCACTGTTGTTCCCATCGATACTAACATCTATCACTGATGTCTCTGAGGTACCGTTGCACTGCTTACAACATGCATCACTCAAAGTAAGTGATTGGTTTTCTATGTATGTGAAATCGCGTAATAAAGAGACTTAATACGTACAATGGTTCAGCGTGACGCGTCTTCAGTGTAAATCCTCATGTTTCAGCCTGCTGCGGCGTTCGAGTTGTTTTGGTTGGTTTTGTTTTTGTTTTAGTAATATACGCCGCAATATCCCCCTCCCCCATACTGCACCCTCCCACATACTGCATCATCCCACACACTTTATTCTCTCTAGCAAGTCCATTGTATTCTCATAGAAATTAGCACAACACAAATAATTAAAGTCATAGAGGCTAGTGAAATAATTAAAGGTTTGCAAATAAGACTACAACAACATATACTGCACATCTCTCCTTAAGCCGCGTGTGCCCACATGAAAGGATAAATAGTTTACATTACATCCACAGTGGTTGCACCCGACTTCGTCCACGGAATGGCATTTTTCTTCAACCGGCCCCGGTGTGTTGTGTCTGTGTAGTCATCCTTGTCAAAGTGTTCGCTGCAAATGCGGTAATCTTTAGCGCGTAGTACTTGTATGGGAGTTAGCACATCAAGTTGAAGTAAAACTAGCCACAACTGCAGAATCTCGAGGTCACGGAAAGGAAGACGATGAAAATTTAAGTTATTGTATTTCCGCATTCTGTTGCCACAATTCGGAACGGCACAAACGCGAACCATTTCTTCTTCACTTCACTCCGATCTTCACTCTTCATACACTACGCTCCTCCCACCTGCACACTGCTATTTACCTTTTTCCAGCTACAGTACAACTGAGTTCCCAAGGGACTTCTTCAGCACGAGACTACAGCTAGCCGTCTAAAACACTATTTATGTGAATTTAAACAATGGCTAAGTTGCTAAACGCATCTTGTCATGTAAGAGCCCTGTTCATGTTGGACAGACATTTTAATTGCATTTTGTGTCTGTTAAGAGGCACAAATACACTCTTTATGTACATGCCCCCATACCTGCCGTTTTAGCTGAGTGGGAGCTCTGGGCATTAGCTGTTAGCAGCTCCGTGTTGCAAGCACCAATCCGGTTCGTTTTTTTTCTTCTTCAATAGACAGTACTCACAAAGGTATAACGATCAAGATTAACTTCAAAATTACCAGGAGTTCTCCTTTAACTTACCTCCAAAACCGCAAGAAATATGTTAACATCCTGAAGCACTTCCTCTAACTCCAAATCTTCAGCATCAAAATCCAAACCACTCATTTTTCAACAAACTAAACAGGAGAGATAATATTGACAGAACATGTCTGTAACATTAAAATAAACATATAGCTTACAGACAGATAGCATCTTTTAGTTTGTACTCTAGTAGGGAGGTTAAGCCCAAAAAATAGGCCTTTGACTTCAAGTCATGATGCAAAGGTCTCCTTTGGTATGGAAGTACCTTAGGGTCATACAAATAAATTTATCCTAAGACACAAGTGAGATCACACTTTGTATCAGAAATAAACATGTTTTTTAAAAAATGGCCGCCAATGCGCCGAAAATACTCTAGAGCCCATATCTTTGCTTCTGTTATCGCTATAATGACAAATTTGGTGTCAAAGTGTACATTCTTGGAGTCAAGGAATCCAATAAAATTGGTTTCAAGTTTAAAAAAATAATAATTTTCCCCATACCATGACAATTGGGGGTAAATATGCACATTTCACATAAAAATTGTCATCAGAGTGACTTTACTTATCTTTTCGTTCAAAAACTTTAATTTTGTATTTAAGCAGTGCAGCTACTTCTGTACATTACATTTGTCCTAAGTAGCATGAGATTTCGACCAGTCAGGAGTAGCCTATAGCATATCAGTTCCTGCAACAACACATCCCATCTGCACCAGGAGCTGTGACAGCTGTTGAAGGTCAGAGGTGACAGGTTAACACTTTGAGGTTCGTATGACTTTCTCATTAAATAATTTTTTTTAATGTTAGATAACTAATAAATAGCTAGCTAGTTGACTATGGAAAAAAAAACCTTAGAGGGAAAACCTCTTTTCTCGAGAATACTGAAGCCAAAAATTATCCTTATAATTTGTATTAATTTAAAACACACTTGCTGCAGCTAGCAGACCTAGGCGAGGCAGCTCGCGCGCCTATTGGATGCTATGCGGCAACTGCTGCAACCTATCGAGGCACTGCTCGTGACGTAAGCACCAATGAGTGGGCGAATGGGCGTGGCTTATGCCTATATAAGCCAGAGCTCGATAAGATGCTCCTTGGTTTTCATCGACTGAAGCGAAACCAGATGGTAGCACAAGCACGGCAGGGTTACGCAACACTCATTCCCTCTTCTAGAGAGAACCGAGGTTACGTTAGTAACCGTGACGTTCTCTTACGAGAGTACTCTCGTGTTGCGTAAGCTAGCTTACGCTACGGGAATCCAATTTAAAACGCCGTGCGTGCTAAATCTACCACAACACTGACCCAAGGGCGAGCGCCCTGAGTTCATATGATATGGGGATATAAAAAGCCGACATTGGGAATGGGCTTAATAAGAATGATATAAGGTAAACGTGGTTACCTTAAATGCATAGAGGGTGCTTAACACGGTATAACAGTCAGGGGAGGCAATAGCCTGCCTGAACTGAAAACTTTGCAGTCCGCGGAACCGAGTCCGGCAGAACTGAGCGGATAAACTAAACTGACAACAGTCTAGCTTGGAGCGCGGGAACTTCCAGGTTATAGAACCCTATAAATGTAGACAGAGAGGCCCAGCCTGCCGCCATACAGATATCGTGAAGGGAAATCCCAGTGGACCAGGCCCATGAAGAGGCATGCCTTTAGTGGAATGAGCTCTGACGCCCAGAGGGCAACGAAGGCTCTTAGATGTATAAGCCAGTGAGATAGCGTCCACTTTCCACCTGGAAAGGCTATGTTTCGAGGCAGCTAGACCTTTAGATCGGCCACCAAACGAAACAAATAGCTGTCCTGACCGTCTGAAAGCAGCCGAACGTTCCAAGGGCCCTAACCAGGCAAAGGAGATTCACGTCAGACTCGCTGTCAGATCCGAAGAGAGAATGTCAGATTGAAGAGGCGGTGGTACCAGTACCAGTCGGTCGCCTTCCAAGGTTTCAGAGCTGCGACGCATTTCTGATTGACCCTGAGGCGAAACAGATCGGAGGCCCAAGCTTGAGACGGCACTCGTGCTTTCAGCCACCACTGCAGTGGGCGCATGCGAAGCAGACCCAGCTGGAGTACTGATGATGATGAGGCCATGAGGCCCAGCATCTTCTGAAATCTCTTGAGCGGGACTATAGTGCCGCAATGTTCAGTATGCGCTCTGGCGATAGTCGCGCTGTCATTGACAGCGAGTTCAGCTCTGTGCCCAGAAAGGATATTTCCTGGCTCTTCGCCCAATTGACTGTGAGACCAAGATTCTCGAGGTGTTCGAGTAATATGGTCCTGTGTTCTATGAGCTCTGAATGAGATCGAGCTAGAATCAGCCAATCGTCCAAATAGTTCAAAGCTGGCATTCCCTGAAGTTTCAGGGGCGCGAGAGCCGCGTCCATGTACATCAAATGCCAGGGACAGGCCGAACGGTAGGACTGTGTATTGATATGCCTGGCCCTCTAAGGTGAATCTCAAAAATCGCCTGTGACGAGTGAATGTCAGACTCGCTGTCAGATCCACAGAGACTTGTGCTCTGAAAGGAGTGGCAAGTACTTTGGGGACATAATCATGTCTTGGTTTGAGGATGACCTTGGAGTCATTAGGCCCAAACTCAAGGCACGACGCACTAACAGAAAGTGCGTGTAAGTCACCCACCAGCTTGACTGAGGCGATAGCCACCAGAAAGGCGGTTTTCAATGAGAGATACTTAAGGTCCACAGACTGTAGAGGTTCGAAAGGGGCACCCTTCATGGCCTCCAGGACCAAGGAAAGGTCCGAGGGGGGGCGAGGAGGGTTCATCCTTCTAGCTCCCCTGAGCAAGCGGACTACAAGGTCGTTCCTACCCAGTGACTGGCCATGCGAATGTTTGACAAACGCAGCAATAGCCGCCACATATACCTTGAGCATGGATGGGGATCTACCCTTATCCAAGAGCTCCTGTAGGAAGGAGAGAACCTCCGACACCCCACAATCTTGTGGATCCAGGTTGCGAGCTGAGCACCAACCTGAGAACACTGACCACTTGGAACCATAAAGCCATCTAGTAGAGGGCGCTCTAGCTTGCGTAATCGTGTTTAACACTCCGTCGGGGAGACTGATGGGTACCCGTTGATGGCCCACACATGCAGAGCCCAAAGCTCGGGTCGTGGGTGCCAAATCGTACCCCCGGCCTGTGAGAGGAGATCTCTCCTCAATGGGACAGGCCACGGAGGCAAGCTCTGAAGCTGCATCAGCTCCAGAAACCAAACTTGGTTCGGCCAGAACGGAGCTACTAGAAGTACACAGGAACCGTTCTCCCTTATAGGCTTGATTACCTGTGGTAACAGCATGATCAGAGGGAAAGCATAGAGAGGGCGGCTGGGCCAGTGATGGGCAGCCCAGCCGCCAGTGATGGGCTGGGCCAGTGATGGGCTGGGCCAGTGATGGGTGCTGAACCCACACAAGGATGCGTTCTGCCAGTGCATGAAGGTTCCGTGATCTCAGACTGCCCTGGCGATTTATGTAGGAAACCACCAACATGTTGTCCGTGCGGACAAGGACATGGTGGCCCTTTAGAAGGGGAAGGAAGAACCGCAAGGCGTTCTCGACCGCCTTCATCTCTAGACAGTTTATGTGCAAGCTCTTTTCTTGGCTTGACCACAGGCCAAAAGTCGGTCTGCCCTCATAGAGGGCGCCCCAGCCCGAATTGGAGGCGTCTGTCGAAACCACTATCAGTTTAGAGATTACTCCCAGGTTTACACCTGTCTGATACCAGTCGACCGCCTTCCAGGGCTCCAGAGCTGTGACACAGTTCTGAGTTACCTTGAGACGTAAACGACCGGATGCCCATGCTCGACGCAGGACCCACGTCTTCAGCCAGTGCTGTAAAGGGCGCATGCGAAGCAGACCTAAACGAAGAAATTATTAAGTTGTGAATGGACTGTGTGTTTGGCATGCGTTTTTTAATAAAAAATTGCATACTTCACCTCCAATTGTCATGTTAAGGACAACATTATTGTTTTTTAGTCTTGGAACCTATTTTATTGGACTCCTTGACCACAAAAATGTACCCGTTGATACCAAATTTGTCATTATAGCTATGACAGAAGCAAAGATATGGGCCTCTCAAGTATGGTCGGCGGCCATTTTTAAAAAATGTGTGTATATAAGATACAAAATGTGATCTCACTTGTGTCTTAGGATAAATTTATTTCTATGGCCCTAAGGTACTTCCATACCAAAGGGGACCTTTGCATCATGACTTGAAGTCAAAAGTCACTTAACCTCCCTACTATCGGGTGAATATGTAAAGTAAAACAAATATGAAAATACATGTTATGTTATAATGTCATAAGCCACGTTGGCATTTTTTTTACATTAATGTTACCTGAATTTTCATTTTACACACTCCCTTTAATAACGTTACAATCATATTGTAATGCTTGTTTTGTGGCCCGTACAATTAATTAATTTTGCCCAAACTTCATAGATTGCAACAGTCTTCTCAACAGATTAACCTGCAGCCATGTGTTTCCCTTACGGTAGAATTTAGCTAGCAAGCCCATTAGCTAGTTTACATTTACATTTAAACTTTTTACTTCTTGAAAAAGGTTTGCGAGATTTTAGCAAATCAAGCCAGACACGTTGTCTTTCTAAAAGATCTGTATATCACCTTCAGATCTTAAATAATAACAAAGAATGATAATAGCCAAAGTTTGACTCACAGCTGTCTCAGAAAATGCTCACGAAGAAAAAACTCCCATCAAACTCTGGTGCATTGGTTGCAATTGATTGGGTGAATCTACTGACCCCGTCACTATCAGTGTCTCCATAGCAACGGATTATGGGTAGTTCTCTTCTGCCAAATATTTTATCGATTACTAATGGTGAAATGGTAACGTTTGTGGCTAATGGTAGGCTGAATATAAATATTAATAATAAAATAATCTTTAAACGCTTCATGACGCTGTTGTAAAGTTAAAAAAAATAATGACCATAACATTTTAATTTTTTATTGTAGAATTATCAATCACATTTTTGTGTTGAAATATATCAAAATAAAATGATATATGTATATATATATAATATATATAAATTTAAAAAAAAAATGTAATTGACAGTTCCGCGGTTACGTCAATACTCTGGGCGTCCAGTACCGCGGATGGTTTTACATGGTTTAGCCTACATTGGAGTATTAGTGGAAAGCTCTGTGCGTCTCATATTGAGGGTGCCATGTGCGTTGGTAGTAGATGTGACATAAGCGATATGACGCCCTGGGAATGAGAACGGGTTGGCATGGCACAGAGCGGATGAATCCAATGTTTTGAGGAGAATGTGCGGCTGTCAGTCACCGCGCAGGTGTGGATACTGGCATTCAGAATCACAGATTGTACGTTTTGGAAGTATGACCAACATAAGAATTTTCACCAGAAAATGTCATCTGAACAAGTAGTAACATCCACTTTTGTTCTGACCAACTAAAGGAAAAAAAGCATTGCAGTAAATCGCGCCGATTAAATCTAACGATCGCTTCATATCATGTCAAACCGTGCAAATTATACTTTGTTCTCAAATTGTTAATGTTAACAACATCAGCATTGCGTGACTACATTTAAAGCCTTCCCGATATGTATCCTTGTTTTCGCATGGGCCTGCTTGCGATCTCTTTTTTTCTGTAGCCACTCCGAAGTCTGAAGTCTTTTGCATTTTACAGCGGGTGAATCTACTGGTGATTGTCGTTTGAACCTTTCTGGACCCGCCATCACATTGATAAGTTTAATTATATCAAGTGCTGTGAGAAAAGGCTATATATCTCCACCTCCAACATCCTCACACGCAATATAGCCTACTAGCCGAGACTCCTTCTTTATGTGTACAGATGTGACCTAATGACGCAAAGACATGCTCGAATTTCCCGCGGAAATCCACCAGTAGGCCTACCACTGGAATTAAAAACATTATTACAAGCTTAACGTTTTAAATCGAGCTAAGGCAAGCAGATAGTTTTGAACCCTTTCCCACTCAACAGATAAAGCGTTGTTGAAAATCCGGTTTGCGTACCCCGAAGTGATAAAATAAAACAAAATTCTTTATCAAATGCATAGGCAAGACAAGTAGTTTGTTTATGGTTTGTATGGAAATTACAAACCTGCGCACATATATTCAAACGAATATAACTATAGAATAAATTTTTAATGCGCATGTGAACGCCATCAGGTCACAGGTTCGCGTTTAAAGTCTGTTTAGAGAGAACGCCGTCGTCTTAGTGGCCCCTAATGTAATAACAAATGATAATTTTGCTGGAAGTGAATCAATCAAAACTAACTTTAGCTGGAAATAACATTATTCAAAAATCGCTATAAAGCCAAAACAATCTCTGTTACCGTAAATTGTATGTTTATCTCTGTAAAGCTGCTTTGAAACAATCTCCATTGTTAAAAGCGCTATATAAATGAAGATGACTTGACTTGACGGCTGGTACGCACTAGATCAAAAAATTATTTTGGAGAATTTTTAACAGCTTTAATTTTAATCAAATTACTTTGCCACGCTGAAAAGACAGTAACACGCAGTAAACCTTCACCCACTTATCGGAAACTTTCGTTGGACCGATTGGGCAGGCCTTACATCATCAAAATCATTGATCCATAATTTGGCAAAACAAAAGTGACAGACTGAACGTTTTGAATGCTTATTTCTTCAAGTGTGAATTTGTCATTGTTTTGGAGCACAAGATAACAGTAAGGTAAGGCTAACAAAGCCACAAAAAAATAAATATTTAATGGGGACTTTAAATGTAGCAGCATCAAATCACTATCTTCTGTTTTATAGTTTATCTTTAAAGTTTTCGTCCTTGGTGTTATAAGGCCTGTATTGTAGATATAACAACCTGTATTAAATTTCCTTCTTTTTATACATCAACACACAACATATTTTATCATAATTTTGTTTTATTATAATGACATAAATGATAATTTTCACACATTGCTTGAGAGTAAACATTTGTAATTTCTAGTTATCTATCAGATATAGCAAAATATGAAATGCTACACTAAGATGTTAATTGTACCATTTCACCAGTCAGTGATTTTTCTAAATCACACTGCTTGGGTTTCTTTGGATATTGTTGAAGCCTCGCCCTCAGTGTGTTAACTTTGCTATCCAGCTCATCCATGAAACCCTCATCAACCGACTCACTGTCCCGGTCTTCCCCCGGCCCAGCGCCCTCTGCAGGGAGGAACACATGCAGCTGGTGTGTGTGAGACCGAGACGTGGCAGATGAAGCGCCGTCGAGGGAATGGCGGGTGGGGAGGAAAGTCTTTCCCCTGACAGATAACGCCTCGAGGTTTACGGGCTGCTTGCACTGCCTCTCTCTGCTCTCCGTGGGCCGCCGCTGACTGCGAGGAAGGGTTTGTCCAGGCTTTAGTACAGGCCTGAGAGGCTGAGAGAAATGCATGTACACTTGATGACTCTGCTGAGGTGTCTTTGTGTTCTCAGGGGTCTTGCAGGAGGGAAGAGATGGGCCACCACGTTTGCGTAAAAGGTGGTTTTTTGAAAGCCCCTCGAAAACAGCCCTCTGGCTTGGGGTGAACAGGGAAGGCTCACTGATACTGGGAGGGAGACCAAAAACAGACACATATGAGGTTAATCAGAAAAATATTAATGTAAGCGGAAGGAATGGAAAGATGAAGACCTACCGTTCAAAATAATATTTTTTTTGGGAAAGTTGTTTATAAGTTATTTTATTAAGTTTCATAAAGACACATTAAAAGGATCAAAGGTGACAGTAAACACATTTATAATGTGAAAAAAAGAAAAGAAAAAAGATTTCAATATTACGAAATGTTTCTTGAGATGAGCAGCACAGAAGTGTGTTCGAATTGAAGCAGCGCTGCGCAGACCGATCATTGTAAGACATCAAAGTACCGCGAGAGTTCTTCATGCTTTCGCATCGCTCTCGCGGTACTTTGATGTAGGCTAATACACCGATCAGTCTGCGCAGCGTCGCTGTTGAACAAACGACCTACTGATTTTCTGAATGATCATGTGACCATGAATGAAGACTGGACTGAAGATGCTGCAAATTCAGCTATGATATCTCCTGAATAAATTGAATTTTAATATATGTTCAAATAGAAAACAGTTGTTTTAAATATGTATTTTTCACAATATTACTGTTTTGACTACATTTTAATCAACTAGATGCAGCCCTGGGGCTCGTTCTTCGTACGTCACTTAAAACATCCGAGATCAAATGAGACATCTAATGCCGAGTTCAGACTGCACGATTTTAGCCCCGATTTTGGCTCGCCGACAGGTTTTGAGAAATCGCCGACAAATGCCCGAAATCACAGGCAAATCGGTGCTCGTTCATGCGAGTGATAATCACGCAGTGTGAATGAGCAAAGACGCGATCTGAGAGAATCGCCGACGAGTCGCCGACGCCCGTGAGATATTTGGCATGCTAAATATCTGGACCTGTCGGCGATTCACAATCCTGCTGTGTGAATGTGTTCTGACTGAAAACTACATCGGCGATGACCGACAGCCAATGAGAGAGCAAGATACAGGGAGGAGGAGTTATAGACCAGAATGTCAGTATTTTAATAGATAGGCCTATATTTACAATTATATCAAACAGAAACAAAGCACAAACATTTGCATGACCAGCAGCAACAGCAGGACATTTGCAAAACTATTTATTTACCCCCAACTCTCTTTGCAAAACACAGTCCTTGCTCCCCTCGTCTTCCCAACCATTTCCTGCATAAACTTTTTTCTTTCTTTTCATTTTCGCTACAAATCAGTGCACAGACAATTTGTAGTCTATCATTTTTAATAACAAATTCAGTGTCGCGCGAGAACTCCGGTCTCACGCACGCGTGATCTTCCGTTATTTCCTATCACTTCTCGCGTTTGTTTGGTTGTGAAACGTAGTTTGCGGTAGTAGTGGGAAGTTCGGATCATTTTACTGACTCGGATCTTTGAGTCTCGTTCAGCAAAATGAACGAATCTTTTTTCGAGTCATTTCGTTCATTTCGTTCATTTCAGCATAATATAATTAAAATGGCATGTTAAATATCCCAACACATCTAGAACTTACGAAAATGTTGATTACATTTGTAAAAATAATAAAAATAAATTATAGGGTAATGCAGCCAAAGCCAAATTATAAGAAACCGACATTTTTATGAATTGATTACTTGTTGGGTTTTAAGTTCAGGCTATTGCAGTCTGATTCTGTTAGTTCACCTCACCTCCTCATCCGAGACGTTCTTTCCTTTGCAACTTCATATTTATCAGGTTTGTTCTCCTCCTCTTGTGTCTCGAGACGTTAGTTGTCGACTCGTCAGTGTCTGACTCTGATCTGCGCTGTCTGCTGGGCCGTGCCGTGTGTGATACAGCAGGGCCGGAAAGAGTAATGATTAGTTCATCTTTCGAGTCTCGAGTTCGGGTTCGGCCGGGTCCGAGTCTTTCGTTCTTCCTGTCAGTCCCATAGAGGTTATGCTGTCAGTACCGGAAAGAGTAATGATTAGTTCATCTTTCGAGTCTCGAGTTCGGGTTCGGCCGGGTCCGAGTCTTTCGTTCTTCCTGTCAGTCCCATAGAGGCTATGCTGTCAGTACCGGAAAGAGTAATGATTAGTTCATTTTCTTCGAGTCTTTGGGTTTGAGTCCTTCGTTCTTTTGTCACGTGACCGCTGGTATCTCGCATCAAATACAATATTAGATTCGTATTATTGACTGCGTCTGAATGTATATTGTTTTATATTTAGGAATTAAAATACAAAATATGTGAAATAAACATTATCTGAAAAATAAAAGTTCCATCTTATTATTGTCCCTGTCCGTTTCTTTAAATGTTTCTTGTGCATCTGTGGTGTGTTTTATTATATATTATACATTAATTAACTACTATTATATTATACATTAACTACGTGCTTGTTTGTAAAAAAGGTTGTGAATTAGTAGGCTATTCAATACGGTGACAAGTCACGTGACAAAAGAACGAAGGACTCAAACCCGAAGACTCAGAAGATGAACTAATCATTACTCTTTCCGGTACTGACAGCATAGCCTCTATGGGACTGACAGGAAGAACGAAAGACTCGGACCCGGCCGAACCCGAACTCGAGACTCGAAAGATGAACTAATCATTACTCTTTCCGGTACTGACAGCATAGCCTCTATGGGACTGACAGGAAGAACGAAAGACTCGGACCCGGCCGAACCCGAACTCGAGACTCGAAAGATGAACTAATCATTACTCTTTCCGGTACTGACAGCATAGCCTCTATGGGACTGACAGGAAGAACGAAAGACTCGGACCCGGCCGAACCCGAACTCGAGACTCGAAAGATGAACTAATCATTACTCTTTCCGGTACTGACAGCATAGCCTCTATGGGACTGACAGGAAGAACGAAAGACTCGGACCCGTCCCGAACCCGAACTCGAGAGAGATGAACTAATCATTTCCAGTACAGATTCAGAAACCATATGTTGCGCAATGCGCATGCGCGATCAACACAAAATGAACGAATCACTCTCTGAGACAAGTAACTCGGTAGTCCCGAGTCATATTAAAGATTCGTTCAAAATGAACGAATCGTTCATGAACGACACATCACTAGTTTGCGGACCAGGCAGAAGTTGTCGGCGATTCTTTCTTTTGTAAAGTCATGCAGTGTGAAACCTCCTGTCGCCGATCCATCGTGCAGTGTGAACACAGCAGCAACTGAATGTTACCCCAGATAGTCATGCAGTGTGAAAACAACAGTGACCCGATTATTTAGAAAATCGTGCAGTCTGAACTCGGCATAAGATGATCATCGTGCTAATCATGATCCGGCTAATTGGGTTCTTTGAACACACCTGTTGTTTATGATTAGTATCGCTGGATTGAGTTATCTGAGATAATTGCGCGTTCATGCGCTGGGTTAAAAGGGGATATGTATCGATAGTAGAAACATTGATCAGCAACGCTGCTATTGGCTGCTCACCGTGGCCAAAGAGCGCGCTCAGTTTTACTCTGCAGCAGAGCAAGAGCTATTGCTAGAAGGTTATGCTGAATTTGAAAACTTAATTACAAGTTTTCACCTAAAATGTGCAAAGCCAGGAGAGAGGGCTGGCAAAAAGTAGCCAATTAAGTTTGTAGTGAGTTTGTAGTTTAGATGTTTTTATCACTTATTACAGTATATATATTTTTTATTTTAATAATTTCTAAATAATTAATAACTTTGTTCATTGTAATGTCAGTCACCACCCACTACTAGAACATGGGAACAAGTAAAAGTGAAGTACTAGAATATTCTACATAATGGTAATTTGTACTATAGGCTACTATAGTCTCTTTTAAAAAGGCACTGTTAATAAATGTTTGCTTGTTTATAAAAGCAACCAAGAAAAAGGCTGAGAAAAAAAGAAAAGAAAAACAAACAGGTGGTGGTCCTGCACCCCCACATTATACCCCGGCAGAAGAGCTGGCCCTTGGGTTGAATGTGAACCGACCCGTCCTGGGTTCAGCTCTTCCTCAGACACACAGCAGGGACCAGTAGCAGCAACTCCTTCATTACTGGTAAATGAACTTTAAATGATCTTACACTGGAAAATATTTTTTTGCTGCACTATAGGCCTATAATCCCAATGGCTGGTCCAGCCATATCAACTGTTAAACCTTGAGTAGGCCTAGTGATGAATTGCTTACTTGTGAAAGTGTGCATGTGTGAAACTACATGTAGCCTAGTTAATGTAAAAAAATATGTTGCCATGAGTTATTGATCACATTTCCCCCAGTGGACTTCATTGTAATGAAATTGTGTTTTCCTCTTTTGTGCAGTTTTAAATACCAACACATTTATCTGTTCCAAGTGGCTGAACCATGTGCAGTAAGTGGACTTTTCCAAACTTTACATCAAAAGGGAAGAAAGTACAACACTTTGTAATGCCCATTTCCCCACCAATGCACAGGACAGTGAAGAAACTCTCTCAGATGACTGTCTTTTGGAGAAAGTATCTTTAAATAACTTAACTTAATTTACACTTGAGTACCTATTATTTCTGAATGCAATATGTGTTGCAGGAGTCCACATCTACAGAAAGGCCTACAGAAGAGTCTGCACAAAGCAGTTATACAGAGGTGGGCAGTGTATACTTTTCCTTTTATTTTTTGTTGCATAAGGCTTGTGTTGAAAGGTTTAACCCAAGCCCCCCTGCCCCTAGAAAATAGAGTATTTTGGGGGGGACAACTTAAAGAAAAAAAAACTGGCACTATAGAGTTAGAGATAGAGTTACTTCAAAGGAACTTCAGAGTAAGTGCTAATATATTATTTCACACAGAGTACTATTGCTGACCTTGCATAGTATCTCTTATTGCAGGCAAAATATGACTTGATCACTGGCTTTTCTTTACAAAGAACAATTTAAATAAAAAATCAAAGAACTAAGCATATTTGTCTTGTCTTTTATTAAACATTTAATGAAATGTTTTATATTTTTGCTGATGGTGGAAATGTTGTGTAAATGGCACATGTAATGTCACAGGCCCTGTCAAGTGCAACCCTCAGGCTTTTCAGACACTGAAATCTTCCCTTTAGTTGGCCAAAGTTCATTTCATTGTGTGACCATCTCTTGGCTAGAGCTGCATTGTAACTGTGTATGTAATACAGTGAGCTTGATATTTATACTTTTCCTTACCATGTTCAAGTAATGTGGATAAATGTGAATCTCTGTGCTTCCACATTTGTGATATGGAACAGTCACACACCATCTAGAGATTTTAGTCTGTCAACTGCCTTTTTTTAAATGTGATATAATATTACTAATCTGGAATATTAAGAATTGTAATAGTAACTTGGCTGCACATTTACATTGTGATCCCCCTTTCTGTTCACAAAATCCCCTTCATAGAGGCCTTGATGGGAACATGTGTGCAGTCTATTGACCAATCACATTAGTGAAGCCTGAGGGACATATCTGTGTCATATTAATCGGCATGTTCATGATTGCATGATCTTCATTAAAAATTATAATACCTGCGTTGGCTAAAAAAGAAGAAAAAAAAACCTGCTATAGCCTACAACCTTGGGTCTAAACTGGCTTGGAAATGCCACAAAAAAAAAAAACACCCTAAAAACTGCTTGAGCGCCAGGGTAAACTTTGTGAATGACACGACAGACAGCACTTATCAAGTTCTCCGCATCTCCAATAGTTTAAAGGAAAAGAGCCACTCGCAAATAATATCAGGACAATGCACACAGTTTGTGCTGTTATTAAAGGCCGACTCCGACGAGTCGAACAATTAATGTACGTTTCCAAAAAATAATTGATGTAAATGACATCCTCACGAGTCATGAGAAAAATTATATCTCTCAAAAAGTACACTATCGCGCTGCGTTAAAGACTTCTCGTTTCACCTCCGCTTATAAAGCCGCGATCTAATCCTGTTTACATGAAATAAGCCTGCTCACGAGCAGGTTCAAGCTAGCGGGCACCTGTTGCTATGACAGCAAGTCTAGGATGAGCTTCGAAGAACCAAACGATCCAAAATCATGCCAAATCGTCAACAATCAAATCCAGCTAACTTGACGCACGAAGAACGAGCCCCTGGTCAGCAAAGATTCTTAAAAAAAATCGTATTGACATCAAACTTGAAAAGTAGTGAACATTTTCACTTTAAGATGTTAGAATTTTGATAACTACGAAATAGGCCTACCAACTACTCCCAAACAATACAAAGATATTTTTTGAACGAATAATTTATGATATTTGTAAAAAAAACATTAATAATAATTCACACCTTCCATTTCCTCTGCTGCTTTTAATAAAAATATGGCCATTATACAGGTGTACTGCTTGAGAACCCCTTGGAACATTTAGCTGCTGTCATTGGATAATCAGTGTAATTTAGCTGTTGTTTTGTGCGAGCTGTTTGGGTGTGTTGCCACGCAAGAGGAACGTTTCTCAGGTTTCTAGAGCGTTCTCCACCTGGTTCTCCATGGTGTATAGCAGTTTTTGACACTTCCTGTTACTGGCTGATGAAGACGCGTCTACAACAGCATTGAAGTTGAATGCAGACCCCAACAAACTACTAATTCTGGGTATTGCATTGCTGTAGGCATTACACTTACTCTGAATTTTAAAAATAATTAAAATTATTTGCAACATTTAGATGAAAATTAATTTTACAAATATTGTATTGAAATACTAGATTAACCTAAATTTCAATTTCATGTGCCTTCAATTTTCTTAAGGATATTAATATCGTTAAAAATTAGACATAATACATAGATCCTGTTATTCAATGATTTTTTGATGTATTAAAATTCCACTGTATTTCCTCCTGATTTAATGCATTCAAAATAGTTTTGTTGGTCTAAACCAATGTATTTAGATGGATTCAGTGATGTTAAAAGTTTTAATTAAGGACTTTTCTAAAATTGTTCCCTGGAGTCCCAGCCAATAGACTTCGAGGCGCCAGGTATCAGCTTACCTGAGAGGCACCATGGTGTTCCGACCATGTGTTGATCTGGACAATGATGGAAGCCTGAAATCATCTCTGCTCCATGAGCCAGGAAGAGGGATCGCGGAGCTGGAGAGCAGGTACGTCCGGACCAGAGTGCGGTTTCTCTGCATTGCCCACTGATGCTTTAACTCCACAGTGTTCACGCTCAGTGCAGAAGGTCTGGCTGCACTCATGTCTGCACCGACAGCACCAGACGGACTGCAGCCGCCCCTCGGGGGAGCATGTGTCTACATACAGTGATCAATCATTCATGCACATTAAAAATACATCAGGCAAGCCCATTGGTCGCACTCCACCAAATTCTCCCTTTCTTTCGTTCCGTTGTCATCCTACAGCACAAAGAAAGACTTGAGCGTTTCTGAGACATCATGGCACATGGAGATATCTGATGGCAGGGTTGTCTTTGAATCATCTTCAGTTTAATAAAACCCAACGTTGGCAAATTAATTCTGACATGTACCTCAGAAGAACCATTTAAAATACACTAGAACGCATGTAGTAGTACATGATTTAAAATGAGCACATCCCAAGCTAAATACACACAAAACCTAGTCTTAGATTTGTGCATCACATTAAAGTTAACTTTAGCTGCTAACTGCCATGTCAGTAAATATTTTTGGTGATTCAGTAAATATATAGCGAGTGACTGTCAAATTTATTAATCTAAAAGGATGTGAGTTTAATAGTTACTAAATCACAACACTAACAATCCCTGAGAAAATCCTCAAAACATGGTCTAAAAAGCCTAACCCACATTTACCCCACCGCACTTCTCAGACTGCAGGTTTATTTTTCTTTTTGAACTACTTCCAGCAGTAGCTGTCAGCCAATAGAACAACAGTGATAAAACAAGAGAAACATAGCACCTTGACCTTAATGGATACTGGACATCAGCCTGGGTGCTACTGGGTTACAGAGGTCTGTCTGCGTTTATAGACCGCTCAAACATGTCTGAGTTTGTTTTAAAGAAATCTTGCCAGTAAGTTTAATAAACGGACATTAGATTTATATGATAAAACCAAACTGGTAATATACTAGCAACACCTCTAAAACATCAATTTTAAAGTCCGCTAGGGTCTGCACGCACAGTTAAAACTTGCAATGGTTTCATCTAAAAAAAAATATATATTCACAAAACTAGACAAAGGTATCTTGACAGTTTATTAAAAGAAATAAAAAAAACATTGGATATAATCATGATGCATCCAGTGCTGCACTAAAGATTTCCCAGCTCTCATCTGTGCGTCACACTCCCACAGGACTATACAGGACAAAGAAAAATAAGGTAAAAATTAGTAATTTGGTTACATAACAGTATTCTCTCATCTTGGATTAAAACCAGTACGATTTAACGCCAAGTAAAAGGATGTTTTTACACTATTACATGCACACAGGAGAGAGAAAGAAATATGAAATATAACAAATAAAACATTTTTTTTTTGTAAATGTAAACCTTATTAAAAAGGTGCTCTAAGCGATCTCAGGTTTTTTTTTTTAGGCAGAATTTTTTTTTGTCAAATACAGCAAATATCTCCTCACTATCCGCTAGCTGCCTGTCCCCTGAACACACTAAAAAAAAACACGGTCTCTGTAGACAGCTCAGGCTCCACAAATGGTAACAAAAACAAACTAGTCCAACCTGGACCACAAAACAAACAGTGTTCCAGCCAATAACCAACAAGAATGATTTGGGGGTGGGGGGTTAGTGAGGGTCGAGCTAGCCTCCGTTTTGTTTGACTAAACTTCGAACGTCAACAAGAAGTGACGTCGCCCAACATCACTAGAGCACCTTTAAAATACACAGGTCAGTAAATGTGATATTTATAATGGGTTTGTGAAGATAGTTTTAAATTTACTTAATCTAAAAGTTAATTTAAAAAATGATAGCTTTCAATTATACTGTAATGTTGAATGACTATAATTACTTTGTACTTAAAAAAACACATTACGGAAATTTGGAGATGTGAAATTATTTACTACCTAAATTTTGTATCGATTGACAGCACTACACACTAGTGATGTATGTCTCGAGACCGGTCTTGGTCTCGAGACCACTTTTACATGGTCTCGGTCTTGTCACGGCCTTGACGGTCTTTGGTCTTGGTCTTGTCTTGGTCTCGGACCTCTCGGTCTTGTCTAGATCTCGTTGTCTCAGACCGACGGGGTCAGGGGATTTAGCAATATCAATATCCACGACGATATCCGCAACGGATTGAAGCGCGCGTCCGAGTGAAGACAGTGCGGTGCGCGAGCCGTATCCGCGCCACTGATCGCAGCGGCAACGAGCACTTTGATCACTTGATTTAAAAAACACATATCATGTACAGTTTTTGATGTATTAATATTTAGTAAAACACATATCAGTGACATGATGGGTTTTAACTTCATTCAGGAGATTTTGGGTAACTGCACAACTGACAGATGACTTTGAGCGCACCGCCAACGGTGTGTGTGTGTAACCATAGCGACAAAACAACCAACTTTTGGATCCTGGACTTTAGCTTATAATTTTGTTTTTAAAAATATAATTATGTATTTAAAAGTTGCAGAATGTATTCATTTGGAGACTTCGAAATCGGCAGAGATAGGCAGGCAATGCAAAACAAAATCTTACAAGTTATTGCTTAGCTTCAACAACACTAGTCTGTTTTTTTCCCCCCTCCGGTCTCGGTCTTGGTCTCGACTTGGTCTTGGTCTTGGTCTTGTCTTGGTCTCGATACCCTCTGGTCTTGGTAGTGTCTTGGTCTCGGTTTAGGCGGTCTTGACTACAAGTCTACTACACACACTCATATATAAAATATACTTTTCCATTACAACATCACAGACCTGCACATTATTGTCCACTGCGCAGGTACATCTCGTGCCGAACAAGTCGATAGTTCCGAGAACAGGTTCCTCGGTTGATCTAAAAGACAAGACCTTTTTACTCCATCACGCAAACACAAGCGGGATCATCACTTGCTTGTCATCGTCTTCGGTGAATGCTTACCCATTCCTGAAACGGTATGATGCTTCTTAACCTCCTTCAATCACCTGAGGCCCCTGCAGTAAGAGAAAGACAGTGAGGATACAGAAATACACAGGCTTTTATCATTAACAATAATATCTAATACTACATATATGAAATGGAAGACAAAAGGTATTAAAGCTACTTTAGTTCTTTCCAAAATCAAAATTCCCTCTTAATGAAAAAAATAAAGCACATAACGTGCAAGTAAGTGGTTAGGCATATTCAAGTTAAACATAGCCAAGTCACTTTTTTTTTATTTTTTTTATATATATATACTGCTGAAGAGCAAATATGACTTCATGCAAAAACACAGTTGCTGTATAGATCACTAACTGACATGGTAAATGACATTTGGACTCATTTCAATACAGACGACACCACCTCAAACACGATTGCCGATTTCTAAAAGATAAGGATGTTGGGTTACAGATCTGCCTCTCTGAGGCAGCCACTAGGTCAAAAGGGCAGTTCTGGCATCACACTCCATAGAGATGAAAACTCAAGGTCCATACTAGGGTTATCAAAATGACAGATTGGGACCAAGGCGAATGGATCACAGTGTAGATAAACAGACACCTACACATACATCCAGACAGTCAAAATGCTGATCCAGCATTATACATATGATGTAAAGATCTGCCCCTATCATCCGCAGTAGGAATACGCACACACACACACACTCACCAGAGTGAATTTAGGGCACCATTAATAGAGTCTGCACAGTGTTCAGTAACATGGCTGCGATACACTGCTGGAGAATGAGTCACTGACATGAGTGCAATACTTTTGTGAAGAATATAAGAACACAATAGATTTGGGAAAACACCAAAGAAATGCACTTTCATTACCCAGAGTATGTCCCACCCCAGTCCACATAGAAAAAGTTCATAAAGAGTGGAGGCAGCATGTTTCTGTGATATAAATATACCAAATAGTTATGAATATATATACACACCAAATAGTTATGAAGTAAACAGGCTGGAAAGACTGCCAGGTTTGAGGAGAAGAGAGAGAGAGAAAGAAAAACTACTTAAACTGACAGATGCATTTTTGCAACAAGGCAAAAAAAAAAAAACTTAGACTACCCAATATAGTGATTTGTTGCACACTACTACAGATCATGTTGATAGACAAGGTTTAAGCACTCAAGAGATTGGAGAGAATATGAGTGGGAAAAGTCTGCCGGATATATATAAGTCTGCTTATATTGTGGAATCTAATATGCTTGGCATCAGAAAATAAAGCTGAATTAATAGTTCATACTAAGCTGATCCAAACATCGCCCAAAATCAGTCATCATAAGGGAAACTACTAAGTACAGACAACTAATAAATACAATTATAAAATTTACTGACAAGATTTTTATATTATTAAAAAATCTATTAAAAAAAGTTCTTATGAACTATTTCAAAGAATCCTGAAAGTAGTATCATGGTTTCCACAAAAATATTAAGCAGCAAAATGTTTTAGCATTAAGAAATATTTCTTCAGCAGCAAATCAGCATACTAAAATGATTTCTGAAGGATCTTGTGAAACTAATGACTGGAGTAATGCTGCTGAAAATGTAGCTTTGTTATCAGGAATAAATGACATTTACAAATACATTAGAATATAAGAATCATTTTAAATTGTAATCTCACAATATTACTGTTTTCACTGCCTTTTGATCAAATAAATGCAGCCTCAGTGAGACTAAAATATATATATATATAAACAGACACCGAACTTCAGAAGGATGGGAGTGTATGTATGTGTATATACAAGCAATGAACAGGCAATTGTGTCGGATTTTGCCGCTTGACCGCTAGAGCTTCCAAATTTCTATATGAAAACAAATAGTATGATTTCTCCATGTACTCATCTATTCTGAAATCTGTTCAACAAGGCAAAAACCATGTTGCTATTTTTCATTAATTAAAAAAATAGGAAAAAAAAAAAGTGAAATCTAGTATACAAAAAGGAAAATAAAGGCAATTACTCTTGAAATTGAGTTTATTTTTTTTCTGAGTCTGTTCATGTTTAGAAAGACCCCACACACAACAGTGAAATTTGTTGTGCCTTTTAACTAAACTCAAAAGTGAACTGAAAATAAGAGCTTTATCTGAACATTTCTATTCAGATTATAGTTCTCAGCACCTTAACCATCATAAACGGACCACATTTTGTATCGCCCCTGCATAAGCAGAAAGAAAATATTGCTTCTCACAGTACCTCGAGTCAACAGAATGCCACCACCCCCTCGATCGTGAGGTTCTTGATATTTCATTAGTGTGCAGTGCTTAAATGCATGATGCCTGGTGAAGCAGAGATGCTTGCTGCTGTCCCTGAAGACAGCTACTGTGTGGAAGACATTACAGAGCAGCTGAAATACACACAGAGGGAGCCAAAGTACCAAACACATTTCAA